TATTTTGTATGTATGTATGTATCGCTCCTATCATTTGAGAAAACTATAGTGTTAAGTACCACTCTAATCGCTTTGTTTCTATTCAGTTCTACTCCAGTATAAGTGTGTCTCCACTGGAAGTGTGTCCCTCACTCTGTGGGCAGGATTGTCAGCACAAAGCGGACGATAGTCGGATTTCGTTTTCTTGACATTGTCCCCGCATTGTTTATATGTTCGAGTCCATGAGTGGACAGTTTTTCAGACACATCCCCGTACACTCGCTCGTTCTTCGTGGCTCTATTGACCTCGCTCTGTATGCGCTCGTCAACCAAAATAGATTAAAAGGTTTGCACCGCATCATTGGTCCATGGGATTACTTTGAATTTGCAGCTCGCCATCTCGTTCTCGGAATTACGCTCTGCAACGATCAGATTCAAAATTGCGCTTCAGGAGGAGTTTGCACGTACAGTCTTGGCTCATCCAGTGATGTCATTTCACGGGCCAATCAAGGCTGCAGTTTGCTGACGTCAAAATCGCTAGCTCGACTTGACCTGCTTGGAACCAAAGATGTGGCGCGTCCAATAACTGAGCAGGAACAGGTAATGGAGACACTGTTGCCCGTGACTGAGTCAATGGAACTGATTAAAGCCACACCCGTGGAGAAGTGGCTTATGCTTTCTAGTTTTTATACGGCAGTCCCTTGTTACTTTACGGTTCATTCATCGCAGACTCGGCTCTATTGCAGTTTTTCAAAATAAGATTGGACATGACACACAATTGGCTGATTGATGGATGAGCTGCACGATAGGCATGGAATTTTTATTTAAAATAAATTATTTTAAATTATTTAGCACCTCCTGCACCTTTGTGCAGCCCACATTGCGGGATAAGCTTTCTGCTGCAGCTGATCAGCTGTTCACCATGCAGAGCAGAGAAGTGGGTGTGGCCAAGAACGCTTGCAGGTGGCTGAGAGCAGCGGAGGCAGAGAGAGGGAAATCATGACATTCTGTGCTCTTTTGGAGTGTTTTGCAATATTCTAAACAATGGTTCTAGAGTGTGGGAAGGATTTAAAACGCCTTATACATGCATATATATATATATATATATTCTACTTCTACTACAATTCGTTCTTGGCGGTTTTTCACTAATCGTGGGTTTTCAGGGTACAGATCCCCCGTGATAAACGAGGAACTACTGTATTGCTTAAAAGTATAGTTTTCTAAAATGTTTAGGGTAGCCCAAGATTAATCTGATCAATCTGGTCATGCTCTGGCTCCACCTTTACTCCTGGTGGTGGATAAAATGGCTCCCTCCATTCTCCAGAGTCAATCCTTCTGTGCTGCCTCAGACGAGCCAAAAAAATAAAATCTCCCTCTGTTCTCCACAGTGTAACTCCTCCCCTCTTGACTATCTTTTATTAAAATCATTCAGGTTTACTTCATTTTCTGTTCAATTCCAGTACAGAAAAACACTCATTTCCCAAACTACAAACATTCGCTATTCTGGTCTCTCTGTGACGGGGACATCGATTACTGCTTGTTTTATTTTAGAAGAGAATAATTTTATTATTTTGCTTTGACCCCACGTCTGATCTTATTGTTCTCGCTCTGACTCTGTTTACATCCGAGGATTATTTTGTGACCGTCCTGCGCTGAGACTGTCAGACTGAATTTTTCTATGGCCAAAAGAAAACAACTTATAATTGTTGGGACAAAACCTTCACTTTGTTGACGGCTTAGCCCAGTGGGTAGGGTGGTCGTCCTTCAATCAGAGGGTTGGGGGTTCAATCCCCAACCTCTGCAGCGTATCCAAGTGTCCTTGTGCTCCACATAGTGTGTACAAATATATAATTGACTGTTGGGGTGGCTCTGCAGGTTTAGCTTATTTATTACAAATGATTCAGTAAACTTTTGTTGGTGAGTGATGCATATTTAGTGGGGTTTTTTTTAATCATAGATAATACACAAATACAAAATATTCAAAATAAAAACTGTATAATAATTGTTTTTTCACATATTTTACAGCATTAAGAAAACAGTGGAGAGCTTTTGTGTTATTTTAGAATAGAGTATGGATCGGCTTGTAAAGTACAAAAATACCCAATGAGGTAAAATAAATTTAGTATTATGGGATAAAACCATATAATTATATCCATATTACCAGCAGGTGTATGCTGTGTATGTTTGTACACAAACAGTTCAGTTTGTGTTGTTGACACTTTTTACCCTGTTTCTTCCTCAGGGTCTCGACTCCCTGGATGAGGACGACCCCAACATTTTACTGGCCATTCAGCTGTCCCTCCAAGAGTCCAGGATGGCAGGGAGTGGACCCGACCAGGACGTCCTCGCCAACGAAGCTTCACTCGGAGCTATCGGCACCTCCTTACCTTCCAGGCTTGAGCAGAGCGCTCCAGGTGTTGAAGTCCCGCCCAGAGCTTCTTTCAGCAGCTCCGAGCTGCTGGAGCTTGGAGAGAACTTGGCATGGCTCGGTGCCATGAGCAGCCAGTACTCTGCAGCTGCTGGCGGCTCCATCTCTGTGCAGCACCGTGGTGCTCATCAGCGAGGGTCCAGACCAGGGGGCAGAAACTCTTCCACAGGCCACTTCTCTTCTTCCACTGACTCCCCCACATGCAGCAGCCACGACCCGTCTTCGTCCTCTGCGTTACCAGCAAACGCTAACCTGCTCGGCAACATCATGGCTTGGTTTCATGACATGAACCCTCAAGGCATCACCCTGGTCCCCCCGACGTCCTCCGACACGGATTCAAACGTGAGTCCAGACCTGGCCTGTAGAGAAGAATACCTACAAGAAGACGAGAGGAAACCTCAGGAAACGCCAGCAGACGGGGGGTTCTGCCCTCAGAGAGCGAGTGATTCAGAGAAGGAGTGTGTCGTCGCTGAGAGGCCGACCCAGTTGGATCTGGTGGGGGTGGATGCCATGCCTCTACCTTACATGGCAGCCCTTGACACGAGTGGAGAGCTGGCTGAGGGCGCGGGCTCTAAGCGCTGTCACGTGGACACTCCACAGTGTGACTCTGGGTCTGACCAGCTGCCCAGCACCAGCTCCTCAGAGTGGGAGGGCCACCTGCACCTGGTGTAATCTGTTCCCCCCAGACTGGAGGCGTGAAACCACTACAAAGAAGAAGAATGTAGCCAGGATCAAGAGTCACATCCAGCTGCTGAAGGTGGGAAGAAGGATTTAGACTCTTCAGTTCAATCAGATCACTTCCTTGTTTTTTGCTACTGTAAGTTTGCCCATCTTCTCAATGAAAGCACTAATGAGATCATAATGACCGTTTTCTGGAGGACGTCTCCTGTAATGAAGCTTATACTGATTAAGAGAAGTAGCCTTTTCTAGAATCACATTTAGCAGAAGTTCAACGCAGAACTTTTGTCTATTTGTGATGTTTTTCCACTGTTGTAAGGCCTCCTGTGTCTGCATCAGGTGATTGAGCAGAGGATTCTTTTGCTTCAGTATTTAAGAGTTTATACAGACTGCATGCGCTCTCAGTCCGCTCATATCTGCCTAATTTACAGGTGCCAAACACTGACTAACAAAAAGCACAATTTGCAATCACCAAGTGGATTCTTTAAAGCAAATTGTGCCTGCTCGTCACAATCTCTGCAAACCTAAATGTGAACTGGAGCCATATTTTAATAAACATTGTGGCTCTGATATTTTCAAAATTCACTTGCTAGAAGTCATCGTGTGTGGTGAAAAACTAAACAATAAGACCACGATGGTTGCGTACTTTATTATGTGTAACTTTCCCATTAGAAGTGAAAAGAAAAAAACCTGATGGTTCAACAGAAAAGCATGTGGCCTCCTCAGAAGGATTTCAAAATGGACTTGAGAACGGTGACTCATCTCAAAGCCTCAGTTTGAACAGGAAGAGACCTCAGCGCACGCTGACAGACCCAGAGGGGCTGAGCGGTGCCATCGAGCTCTTCTTACATTAAGCTTTGAGCTGTGAGCAGTCGTTTTTCTACTGCAGTGGGTGAGATAAGCAGCCATCTCTGGACTTTGATGCATTAAATAATACAGCTCAAAGTTCTGTTTAGGTGTAGATCCCTTCACCCCCCCCCCCCCACCCCCACCCCTGCATGTCAGCGTATGGAGACTTTAGGAATGTGTACATGGGGAGTCCATGTTGTTTTCAAGCAGTTATCTATTGGAGCTGAAAACTCAGTGCCTTTGTGTCAGTCACCATAAATCAAATAGTTTTCATGTATTTCTGAGTGCTACTTACACAGGAACAAAACCAGCTGTTACCTTAAAGTGATTCATTTATAAATGTTTAAAATGTGCAGACACATTCATTTCATCTAAACCTTTTGTAGCATGGTTCGAGTGTGTTTATGTTCCAGGACAGAGCAGACCTGTAAACGGTTTGGTTTCTACGCTCAGCGTCATAACTTTCAATATTCTGCAGAAAGCTCCTTCTGTTCCTGCCCCACATTTCTAAACAAACGGTTGTCCTGTGAGTCACGATAACAAAACAAAAAAATCACTGTAGGAGCTGACGTGCGTTTGCTTTGTGTGTCTGAAGACACTAAAATCGAGGTAAGTTGCAATATGACGTTAGTATTTAACATGTTTGTAGTGATGATGTGATCATGATTCTGTTCTTGTACAGAATAAAGTGACGAGTCTGTGAGGAGAGAAGTGATCTGTGTGGGTTTAGTTCATGTCGGCGCGTTAATCACAAGTGGGTGCAAGACTAAATGATTCTTCTACTTTGTACGTCACCTTTAATGTCTTCGGGACTTATTTAAAAAAATGCATAACTTTTGTAACTCATTAAGATTTTCTATTGTAAAGCAACTAATTCTTGAAATGCTATTTGCACTTTCATAGTCTATACTTGATACATTCCCTCTTTATATGAAACGAAGTTTGTGTGACGACAATAAACGTGTTGAGTTTTACCGTGTGCTCGTCGTTTTTCAGCCGCAGCGTCAAAACCATCCAGACTTTAATTAGAAAATGTTTGTTCTCCGAGTTAAATTACGAAACTCATTAGACAGTGCAACACTTTTATGTTTTTAATTTTAGCACAAGAGCTTTGTAAAATGTGCAAGTTACCGACTGGCTGAGCTACCTCTTGATTTCACAGTGACTTCAAACTGCATCCTAAGATGGAACTGAAATATTAAGAATAAAAACAACCCTCCAAAACGTTTACAGCTTTAGCACCCTGCAGAGATGCATGTGCAGTTTAATAAAAAGTGATGAGGAGAAGACCCAGCCTGAAGGATGAAGGTGGTCCACATGCAGAACGGTGACGACTAAGTGATTTTCATCCAGAGTGGAGCTGTAGTGTTATCAGGCAGTTGCTGGAGCATCCAACAGTCCAAATGATAAGCTGAAGGTCACCAGACTCAGAGGACACAATAAGACTGTGTGACTGCCTCGTCATGGGGGGTGTACAAACACTGACTTGACGTCTTGCCCCTCCTGACAGCTCCGGTAGTTTTTCAACAATCTGCCGCCCGTCCTCACACCGATGAGCCGCCTCCATCATGTTGAGGTCTGCTCGTGGTCAGCAGGTCTCCATGAGCTCAGTGTTGACCTGCTGGATCTCGAGGGCCAGATCCAGCTCCATTCTGTACCTAATTTTTTAAATCCTGGACCAAAGGGCTGCCTCCGCCTTCTGACCTGGGATCAGCTGATGTGTTCAATGTATTCATGACCATTCATCACATGTGGCTTCTAATTTTCACTGCTCCTTTAAATTTTTGTTTTGTTACAAATTACTCACTGTAAACATTTTGAACTCAACAAGATACTACTTGATGTGCAGGAAATGATTGGTCAAGAAGGAGGTTCAGGTTTAGCGGCAGAGGTTCATGCACTGCAGCAGGAAGAGGAACATGGTGACGATGTCCAGGTACAGGTTGAGAGTAGCAAACACGTACTCCTCCGGAGAGATTTGATACTTCCTGTGTTTCCCGCCCAGGATCAGCTGAGTATCAGACACCAGGTACTGCAGAGAGACGGACGAGAAGCTGTTATAATAATGCTGACATCTGAAAATGGCCCGTGCAGGATAAAAGAGAAGCGATTACAGAAACGGCTCTTTTTTTAAGAGACGTGGCTGCGCATATAAACACCAAAGCATATTAATTGTGTAGTCGAGAGTTGTGCAGGGGGAAATAAGTTGTGACACGGTGTCGACAGCTCGCTCGGCTCTGCCGCAGTTTGTTCCACCAGCTGACGGGATGGGTCACAACATTTGCTGCTAACGCCAAAATCACTTAAGAGTGGTGGCTGTGAAAATGAAGCCCACTGCTGTTACGAGGTGCATAATTGAAATTAAAGGGCACGAGGACATCAGAGTTACACTAAAGACTGTGACAAACACTGGCTGCTCGGGATCAAAGCCTGTTCGTTGGGCTGACATTAAGCCGTCTTTCATGTGGCTTGCTTTTTTCCTCAAAGGTCATTTGTGTTTGATTTTCATGCGGTGTGCTGCAGACATCCATTTACTGCCATGAGAGTCGAGGCCACTTACTAAGGAGAACAGCAGGGTTCCCAGGAAGGCGTAAAAGATGTAAGTATACTGCAAAACAACAAGACAAACCATCAGAGACACTCAACCACAAAACGTGATCATCTAATCCACAAGAAGCAGTGGAAATATATTCTGTCTGCAGCTGACTGGTGCTGTGTACAGTTACAACGTGAGAACGAGAGCGCACTTATCTCCTCCCTGGCTGTGCTGTGTAGTAAATGTAAGGCTGAAGGTTGATAAGTGGACATGATATATTTTAAGATAACGCTCCTTATTTTCAGTTCCACTTCATTAGTCTTGTGCAGAAAAACGACAAGTCTTTTCCTGCTCAGGCCTGAACACTAACAACGCACAGTGCTGCAAATTGAAATGCATCAGTCTGACGTGAGCGTTGCTCCTGGGAGGTGCACGAATGCACGTGCCCTTCTTTATAGTCAGCTCAGCTCACAGGTCAGCAGCGGCGCTCTCAGGGGATGAAGCCTACAAGGCTGTGCTTACTGTCTGCGTCTCCGTGCGATTCATCTCGAGCTCGTTCTCGCCGCTAGCACGCGTGAACACAACATGTATTTGATTTACCTGCGAGCGGATGATTGCACACAGCAGGGCGAAGGAAATGAAGGACCAGAGTAAAGCCCACAGGAAGCCGGCTCTGAGCGTGAAGTCCCACTGGTGTTGGAGAGAAAAGGAGACACTTAAACTGTGATGAACCTCTGGAAGAAAAACCTGAGCACAGAGCATCGCTCATCCTGCTCAAGGCCGTCTGCAGCTGAGCCGTGCGGCTCTGCGGACAACGAAACGACAAAGATGTATTTGATTTCTGCACAAAAGAACATTCTCAGACTTCTTTGAATATAATTGTCCTCAGTAATTAACGCGCTGTGGCGGCGGCACGGGGGAGGAGGTGGCCTTTTGGCCTGCGTGGCCTTTTCAGAGTGACAGGAAAAAGATGGCGGCGCAGTGCTGAAGAGCTCTGCAGGGTGGTCCGTTTGACATTTCTATTACACTGACGGAGATCAGACGGCTGAGCTGCAGGTGGTTACAAACTGCAGGAAGACATGAACTCAGCTGATAGTCTCCGAGCAGAGAGGTACTTCTTATTCACCCAGCTCTCTTTAACTGTCCTCTGTGCTTTAATGGAGACGGTTAGAGGTCCAGTCTGAGTCCGTTTTTATTAGAAATGCTTTCGGTGACATTATCCTGCTGCCAAAATGAGTAACTTACCGAACTACAACTAAACACTGTTAAGAAAGGACTCATTTAAAAACAAAAAGCAACATTTTTTTTTACTGCCAGTGTAATTATTTTTGTTTTGCAAAGGAGGCAATAAATGAAGCAAGCGATCATTGTTTTGTTTAAAAAAAAGAAAAAGTGCAATTGTTAACACCGACTCCACGTAATTAAACACAAGAACCTCGTTCCAATTAAACCTTTACGCTGTGAGGCTTTTTTTACACTAACAATAAGAATTTTTTTTTAGCATGTATTAAATTGAAAACTTTTTTTAGCCACGTACAACAGATTTTCTTTCGTTGTCACAATATGTTCCTGCCAGTCTTTTTCTTATTTTTTATCCACATCTATTTAATTTAAAGCTGTTGTTCTCTCCATCACGTCATCACAGCGAACAACTCGCAGCCTGCGCTCGAACCTGCAACCTCAGGATTACGAGACGGCAGCACTGACCGCTGAGCTACCTATAATGACCTATAAGGTCTGTCTTTAATGCAACAAAAATAAAAACCTTTATTGTAAAATGCAGTAAAATGCACTGTTGCTATGCTAAAATGCTGCTTTGTTCATGAAATTACTGAAGAAGCTTAAAAATAAACCACCTAAACTTCCTGTCATGCACAAAGTTTCAGTAAATGATGAAAACATGTCCCCTCCTCAGCAACAAACCAAAGCATTTAGTTTAAGAAGCCTCAGAGGAACACAAACTGGAAGAAAACAATAAAGAATCAAACGTGAGCGACTTCTGCCTTTCACCTAATGCAGGTGTGATCACCATGGCAACCTGCAGGCTCTGACCACACGACTACTGGGCCAGAACAGCTGCTCCGCTCTGTGCTGAGCTTATTAACACTTGACTGACGCTCCTCACGTGAACTGTTGCTTCAACAAACCCGGGACCGTTTTCACATAAAATATTAATCATTCTAACGAACTATGAACACAGTCGCACAAACTGAGTCGAATCAGTTGAAAGGAGCCGCACGCCGAGGTCACCTGAGGGAGTGGAATAGTGAATGTTTGTAATTTTCAAAGGGAGTGTTTTTCTGGACTGGATTTGAACAAGTAAACCTTAATGTTGGTATTCAAGGGGGTAGGAGTTACATTGTGTAGAACAGAGGTAATTTTTTTTTTCTTGTCCAAGGCAGCGCTGAGATCCTGGCGAGTTGAGGGCACATTTTATCCACTACCTGGTGCAATGGTGGAGCTAGGGGGTGGCCAGTGGTGGCCTTGACCACCAGACATCAATCTTCAGCCACCCCAATCATTTGAGGAAACTATACTTTTAGGCAGTAAAGTCGTCCCTCGCTATATTGCGGTTCACTTCTTGCAGCTTCACTGTATTGCAGGTTTTTTAAACGTGTTTTTTTAATATTGTGTGTACTGTACATTCATCTCATCATCATCTTCATCGCCATCGCTATGTTTAGGAGCATGCGTTAATAAGAGAGCAGGGGAGGTTTGTCGGAGTGTGGGAAGGGTTTATAAAGCCTTAAACCTATATAAATAATACAATAAATAAAACGCCACTACTTCACAGATTTTCACCTACTGAGGGGGTCTCCGGAACATTACCCTTGTGATAGGGGAGGGATCACTGTATTCTTTCTTTTGGCTGCGACCTTCTTCAGATGTCACCACAGCAAGCAACACAATTTTGCAACTGTTTTATGTTGTATGAAGCCCTTCCTGAAGCAACCTGGACTTGAACCTGCAACCTCAGGTTTACAAGATCGTGGCACTGACCACTGAGCTAGCTGCCTTTCTTACTGTACATGTTCTATGTAGCCACACACCAAAATGGAAATAGGTACCTCACTACTCACAGGACGGACAGACTGACGGTATTTGACATTCCCCTTTTCGATTTGCAATAGGGGACAAAAATATCATGTTAACCTGACACACACTGATCTTTCTATTTTATCAACGTGTCATCAGCACGGGGGCTGTACAGCTGGAGAGAGGAAAGCTCTGCGGAGAGTGGTGAAGGCTGCACAGAAGTCTGTTGGAGTCAGCCTCCCCACCATCACAGACATTTACACCTCCAGATGCAGGAAGAGGATCACCTGCATCATGAAAGACCCCACTCACCCAGCACACACACTTCTTGCCCTGCTCCCCTCAGGAAGGAATTTGTGGAGCATTAAGTGAAGAACCACTAGACTGAGGAACAGCTTCTACCCTGAAGCTGTTAGACTCATGAATATCTAACCAGGATAATCACTGTAATGACACTTTAATTTGTGATGTGTCACTTTATCTGTGCTGCTGATTATCCATGCTGCTGATTTCTTACTCACAAGCTGCTGTATTCATACCCATCTGCTCACAACAGACTCATGTTCAGGCTGCTATTTAGTACACTATTATATTTTATTATTATTGTTTAGTATATATCTTAGACCCTTATATACTGGTTCTTTTTTATAGTTTATATTATTGCTATAATTTGGGTGTAACTGGGACCTTAAGTACACAATTTCGTTCCACCTCATGTACCACATGTGATGTGAATGACAATAAAGTCTCCTTGAACCTTTATGTCTTTACAAAAGTCAAGCAACTCGTACAAGGAACTCAAAACCCCACAAAATTATTGAGATATTTTGGAGATTATTTTCTAGATGTTCTAAAAATGTTAAATCTGGTCCTCTGGACATTCAAAAAACAAAACAAAAAAGTGTAGAAACGTTTCGTCTTTCATCCGAAAGACTTCCGCAGTCTGAGGTGCTGTATTCAGCTCAGTCTTATAAATAGCACCTTCTCAGAGTGGATCAACCAGTTTTGCTGCTGACAACCAAAACCAGCTGATCACATGATCAAGAAGGACCATCAGCCTAACAATGGATCATTAGCACACTGATGGCTGTTTACTGTTCACAGGAGGCTGAGCCTGGAGATGAGTGTAGACCGCAGAGTCCTGGCCTGATGTTGTTGCTTTTCTGTGCTGGGCCATCCTTTTGGCCAGTGGCTGTTTAGTTTCCCTGATGTAAGACTGATCACAGCAGGGGTTTGGGGGGGGGGGGGGGG